GGTGGGGGTGGGGGGGCTCATCACCACGACTTCTGGAGATAACTCGGGGCAGCATTATTCGCCCTCTTATTATTTTCCACGGTCGCAGAAGAACATCTCCTTTTTGGTTGCTCGTTCTCCGGCCGGGGACTCCAATAAGAAGCACTTGCACCAGAATCAGGCCCGGAGATGCCTATCTGTGAAAAAGCCTTCTGCAGCAGCCTCACCGTATTAGTAAGATCAGCCAAAACGTCCTCTTCGGGGATGACAACTGAGCCTTGGGGTAGACCTATATTCAACATGAGAGAAAAATTAGACAACTTTCTCATAAGAAAAGGTAAAGGACAAGATGAGTTCAACTTATCATGATTTTTGGATTTCCACCCATATTTCAGGGACAACTCTTTCCACGAGCGAGTTTTGGGCGTAGTAACGTCCAAATATTTTTGAACCCATTGGTTAAAGCCCCTCAACCCTAGGGGGAACCCACCGAGTAGCTGAGGCAGGTAAAATAAGAAAAGTTAATAATAACGAAGAAGGATCCTTACCAAAAGTAGAAGCAAACTGTATACTTAGGAGTGCGGTTCCATAATTTCGGGAAGGAAGGAGCCGAAGCCGGGATAATGTCACTGGTGCCAACTAAAACAAATTGTTCCATCTACCCACGAGCGTTATCATCATCCATGCTGGATAAAAGTGTATGGTAGCCTCGCTTGCTGAAGTTAATCATCCCTCACGGAAGATCTTGGGGGATAAAGGCTCATAACACGAGCCAGGGATAACTCCTCCCCCATTTCTTGGCACAAGCGTCGAAGACAAGCGATCTTCCTCCACACGGAGGAACTCATCTGTGCCAAACATACCTGATAGTAGAGGCAAAACTCCACAATAACGGAGTCAAGTTCTCCTCTCAGAGAAAATGTCCCCAAAGTGAAGGGATACGTATAGAAGTACGTGAAACCTTTCTTGGGTAAGGTTATCCGCTCCACTAGATCAGGAGCGATAATGTCTAAATTCTGGCAATGATAATCTTCTTTCACAGAAGGAATGTTGGAAGGACAGATGGAAGAAGAATATCTGCTAATGGCCCATGTATGAGAGCTAACAGAAGGAAATTTCTCTTCGAAGTCTTTAGTTGTGACAAGACTTCTGGGGATAATGGTGCTCATTGTAGGAGGATCGGCTTTGTTTTTGTTCTTTAAGGAACTGATAATTTTTTAAGAAGAAGTCATTATATGTTATAGAAGAAGGAAAAGCTTTTCTTGTACGAGGATAATTAAAGAAAGGTTGAAGAATAGAGTACAAATTGAATGAAGAGAGTTTGAGAGAGATTGGAGAATTATGGGGTGTGAATAAAGGAGATTGATGCGTATAAATAAAGGTTTAGGTGACTAAGTTCGTGGCCATAATTACCTCGATAACGGGCTAAAGTTATGCTGAATCGTGGGATGACGCGTGTTCGGGGCATTAAATGCGGAGAGATGTGCGTCTAATAAACCGTCAGAAGCTTTTTAGAGGGGGTCAGAGAAATTCCGGCCAAAAAGAATGTTTATACCAACTTTTCGGTAACACAAAGTTATGTCACCGGAAAGTAGGGGGACTATCTGTATAGGGTAAAATATGCTAATGCTAAGTAATTATATAAGAGAGTGACGAGTGGAGCCGAAGGCGGAGGATAGCTAAAACCAAAGACAACTGTTCCATTTGTTACCAGAACGAATGATGCTCATAAAGATGCAATAAATGTTTGCCACTCGGTAGCATTTAATGGAGAATATTCTACAGTATTTAGTACACTGCTCGTTACAAAGAATTTGTCATTCATGCCGGCCGTTACACATTCTTCAATGTCCCTCATAATTGACGTAAAAAAGGGCATGATCCTAGGACCTTGTTCCCTAGGTGCAGCTATGAATAGTGAGCTCTGTTATCATTGTAGAGGACAAGAATTTTCTGGCAAACTTACGTTATAATCTATTCAAAGCTTTATACAATTTTACGTTCTTACTTTTTGATTTTATTACTGTTGTGCCCGGAAGCCTTGCTCCCGGAACTACTGTTTCTGCTATTTCATCTTCATCTCAAGGCTAAGTATTGCATATTTCTTCAATTCTTTTATTATTTCAGGATCGAATTAATTCACTTGTCTAGAAACAACGTATAAATTCAATTATACCATTTTGCGGGTAAACATATATATAAAAAAATTTGTTACACATTTACAATTATAAGCAAAATTTTATCGACTTAACAGCATTAATCCTAGCGACTAATGACAATAGCCTGATCTTAATGCATAATATCCAAAACTGCATAATATGCTATTAACAACGGTAAGGAAATAACGGTACCAACAATGACCCTGAAGAAAAAGAAAGCATAATCATTGTTAGAAATATATCAAATGATATATAATAGCTGTTATAAATTGTGCAATGAAAGAGAGAAGAGAACTCTAAAATCTAAGTAGGCGTTTGACCAAAAAAATTATGAATTTTGAAAAGAAAAAGAAGTAGTATATGAAGTTAAGTTGAAATTTTTTATTTAGATTTTGAAATTATGTTTGAACATATATATATTTCACTTAAAAATTATTGTAGTTTTGCAAGTGCCGATAAAAAGTTTCTTTGGAATACTTGAAAAGTGGTCAAAAACACTTTCTTATTTTTGAAAAAACATCATTTTCGAAAAATTTCAAAAAGCTTGCAAATTTTCATAAACAAACACGTTTTTGAAAAAAATTCCTCCCAAAAAGGTAAAGAAATCTATGGACACACGGGTCCTAAATTTCATTGTGCTTAAGATGATGAATTACTCCTTTCCCAAAGTTATTTGAGTTAGGTTTTAGCTATCAAATTTTGTTTTGGGAAGTTATAGAACTTACGCAGTGCTGAGTACGTCTGCATGTAGTCCATATTCTTGGGCATAAACGAATGAAGTGATTGCTTGGGGCAATGCTGACTACAAGAAAATAAAATCGAAAAGTGAATTAGTAATTTAGTGAGAATCTATGAATTAGTACTATTAATTAGACTAATCAAGGTCGGATCGGTTACGGACTCATTTTGGACGCAATAGTTTTTCTTATAATTTTTATCTATTTATTATGAAATACACTTGATAATATTTGACTGTGAACTTAATTATTATTGTAATACTAACTTGAGGTCTCCGTAGAAATTCATAAGTTTCAAATTTTGAATTTCCCTATGTGACTAATGTGTACAAAAAAGTAGTCTTCCCAAAATGCTTGTCCTCTGTTAAATTTTTTAAATTATATGGAGATATAACTTTCTCAATTTAATTGATAGCCGTCTGAAGTGCTCTTGAGAAGATTACAACATGCTGGTAAAGTGGCGAAATGAATAAGAAATGGAGGTCTAAATACTAATATAGGCTCCTGTATTTACCTTTTTTTTTATTCTACTAATTATGATAGCACTATAGTTAAGATCGATTGGTGCGAATAGAAGCACGATTTCCTGACCGACTAACAAATTTATTAGAGGTTAATTCGCATTTTCGGACATTTTTTTTCATACTAGTTGTTCTAATGTATAATTAAGTATTAAATCCCATAAATATGAATTAAATAGCAACATGAACAGATTAATTAAGGAAAAAATAAATAAATTATAGACAATTGTTTTTATTAGAAGAATTAACCCAAATAGATGTCCGTCCAACCGCTTAAACTAAATATAGCCGGTGGAAGTATAATATATGCATAATTTATGTATTATATGTGTATAATTATGTATAATCAATATATAATCTATGTATATGACTAGAAAAATAAACAGTGAATATGGACGGCCATTTATGTAAAGATCCATTATTATTATTACCTGGATAATAGCAACACGTAAAACATTTCCATGCAAGCCCAATACAACACAACCGAGTGCCATTGTTGCTGGCCCAACAACAAACCTCAAAATCATTGCATATATTGTCAAAGCTGTTCCACATGCAATTATTTTCCCTTGCAATGCCATGAAAAGTCCTAAAAGTAAAATTTTTAAAAAATAAACACCTTTGTTTAGTGAAAAGAATTGCATTAAATTTTGACATTAATTTAAATATCATCTTTAATTTGGTCAAAAACAGATCACAAAGAACAAAAGTGGTTGTTGGTTAAACAGAATGCCAGAAGTTATTTAATGAAACATTAAATAAAAGATCAAATGTTATTTAATGCTATTTTGCATTAAAAGGAAGACCCTTTAATTTTGTTCCAAGTGTTTAAGACTCTTACCCATGCTAAACATTGCAACACCACTACCAGCCTTTGACATGATCAAGAAGGATCCCTCTATGATGCTTGGCATTTCAAAATTCCACCTAAAAAAAGAAAATAAAAAACAAAAAACATACAAGTAAATGCTGAATATTCTTTGTGTTGAAGTAGATCACATTTTAATTTGGTTAATTATGCTTTCAACACGGCCTTATGACGTGTGAACTTGATTCATTTTTTATTAGTTAAGTCGTGAAACGGGTGACGGTAAATTCTAACTCAGGACCTCTTAATGAGTGGAAGCAGGGGCGGAGCCAGCATTGGGGCTCCGGGTTCGACGAACCCAGTAGCTTTGGTCAAGCCCTGTATTTATCTTGAAAAATTTATTAATTAGTTATAAATTAATTATTTAGAACCCAATAACTTAAAAGGCTTAGAATATTGAACCCATAAGCTTGAAATTATAGCTAGGCCTCTGAGTGGAAGCAAGCAGCTCTTATATCATATTGAAGTCTATAACCATATAATTTAGAAAATTAAATTGTTAGAAAGAGAATAGTTTTCTTTATTTAAAGAGAGGCTGAGTACTTTTACAGAAATATTTGAGAAAATAACATTACACTATTATGCACATAATTACGAAATATTTGTTATTTAGTTGCCATAATTGTAAAATACCTGCTGCTACTAGGTTTCTGAATTTTTTTCTTAAATATTGCCTATTTATATTTTTTCCCCTTATGTACTAAACGGTTCGTCTTTGATTATTTTGAAGTTAGTAAATAAAAAGTTTACTAAAAACAACTAGAGTAAAAACAGAATAAAGAGTAATACATACATACCTGTTAGCTAAAAGAGCCCAAACGAGACCAAGAAAGCAAGCATAAGAATTGGGATTCTTAGCAAGTTTAATAGAAACAGCCTTAATCAAAGGCCCAAAAGCCATATTCCTCACTGGAGTATTATTTCCTTCCAAATCACTCAGTTCAACAGAATTACCATTAGAATTCATCTTTGTTTTCCAAAATTCAAGTGCAAATAGCAATGAAGTAAGCCATAACAAAGCTTGAATAACAGCTGCTTGAATTACAAGATCAACCCCTAATTTCCCATACATGGCTTTCATCAATGGAACACCAACAACAAGTGTGTTATTCAAAGTGGACAAAGAAAATGTCGTTATGGACCAAGAAAAGTTCCCTTTTTTGTAAAAGTTAGCCCATAAGACGAGAATTACGATCAGTAAGGCTTTTGAAATTACGTCTCCGGTTAAAAAGAGGCCGTTGACGTTGTAAGGATCGAAATTAGCTATGAACTCAAAATTGAAAAATGGGATGATGAAGAAGCAATTGAATCTGTTAATTGCATCACATTGTTCTGACTTGAACATATGCCACCATTTTACTGAACCATAGCCTAAAATAAGTGCGACATAAAGTGGCGTCATGGCCGCCACCACCTTATATATATCTTCCCACTCTATCATTTTTTTAATTTGTGAAGGCTTTTCTGATTTTGTAAATATATGTTGGTTCTTATTAGTGGGCGTTTTCATGGGAATATATAGAGAGAGCAAAGTTTGGAGTTTTTAACTCAAATGATCCCTTAAGTTTGAAGTTAGGTCTATTTTTGTCCCTATTTTATTACCCTGATAACATATAGCGCTTTAAGTTTGTAAAAGCAAAGCACTTTCATGAAAACTAGCAAAAATGTCAAATGACTAATAAAACAACGATCTCGATAGAGATCTTATTTCTCCAAATTCAGCTCTAATCACCAAAAAAAAAGAGAGTGTGATAATAGAGTCACTACTCACTAGTTACTATACACACACACAAAAAAAAAAAAACAAAAAAAAAAACAAAAAAAAATTACAAACTATCGGTAATGAAAATAAATTGCGATTGAGGGAAAATAAATTTGGGCAAGTATACCCCCATGGCAATCATTATTTAGCTTTGGCATGTGAAAATATTATATGCTGTACGGCATTTTCGTTAGTTTTAGATGATCCAATATAAGTTCTTTCAGCTAGGATTAAATTATAAAATTTAAAGTATTATATGTGCTCGAGGTAACATAGTAGGGATGAATATAGACTTACCTCCAAAATCAAATGATAATCTATTTATTTATATCTATATTTATTTTGTACTACTAAAGCCCTTTTAGCAAAATGTCATTCGTCTTTTTTACCCTAAAATTGATTTCACTAAAAAAATAGTCATTTTATTATATATCTAATATTTAGAAATAGACATTTAATTATTTTTTAATATTTAAAATTTATTTCCCTATGGTCGAGGTGGGTGGCACTGCGGTATTAAAAAGCTTCCAAGAGCAGATATTTTTAGAAGCCGCACTCTGCTTGAATTAGAACAATTACCGAGTATAAATTTTTTTATCTCAGTTGATGGATATCTTGATATGAAAGCTCAAAATTTGCAAAAAAAAAAAAAACACAAAAGAAATGCAGTTTCAGTTTGTGAGTATTATTGTTATAAATTTCAGATAACGAATGATGATGAGGATGAAATTTTGCATACATGAAGATTATTCCAACAGTATTCAGTGGATGAATATATAAAATTGGAGACACAAAGATTGGACTTTATTTCATTCAATCAAGATTTGTTTAGAATTGGAGTACTACAAGGACTTCTTGATATTTTAAGACTTGGTGAACGAGATGCTTCCAATGTTGATCAGTAAACATTTTTGGATATTTGAACTTGCATTAACCCTTTTTTTCATACAAGAATTTGTTGGATCTAAGTTACTGCAAGGACCATGCATCATATGTTTAATGACAAGCTTAAGCAAATATGATTCTGCTTCTCATTTGGTAATTCTGCTCTAATTATATCATCGTACGTCTCTGTTGTCAATAGTGTGTGCTCATTGCCTTCAGTGGCGAAGCTAGATATTTCTCCAAGGGTGTTCAAATTTAAAAGAAGTTAAAAAGATTTCCGACAAAGGGTGTTCAATATGTGCTACATACCTCTAAAATATAATATTTTACCTATGTACACAGTGTAATTTTTCGACGAAGGGTGGTTAACTGTGACTTCGCCACTGATTGCCTTGCATAATAAGAAAGTGAGCATGGGGTAAACCTCATTTCCAACGAAATATAAATATTTAATTATTTCCTAATATGTAGGGTTTCCTTCTATTCCTTTAGATTTAGTATCCCCTCATATTTTAGCATGTTTATATATTCCTTTCGTTATTAAATTTTACCCGATTACATGCTTCGCCCACTTTCAATCCTTTTAGGTTTATGAAATTTTTTCCTCTCATATTTTATCTAGAGCATGTTAAAGTGCTTCAGAGGTTTATGAGTTACTTTTACTTATGAAAAGAGAGTAGTTCTTTTTCCTCATGATTTTAAATTTTCTCAAAAAAAAAAAAAAGATTTTAAAGAATAATTGTAGTTTTTGGTTCTTACGAACGTGAGTTATTGCATTTTTGCTGGTTTTTCTACGCCTGTCTTATATAAAACTTTTTTGGCCGTTATTGTACTTTTAATTAGTAGCCAGAAGGTTTGTTATAAATAGGATCAATAATCTGAGCATATATGAGCAAATTAAAATATTTTTTCAAAGTGAAAAATGTCTTTCCTTCTTCCTAAAAGTGAACAAGTTGGGTGGCCTCATATTTGCTGGTGCTGGGAATGAGACCTCTTCAATAGCTTAATTTTTTTGCTCTTCTGTTTTTTATCTGATTGGTGAAATTAATTTATATTATTTTTATATTCATTAAGATACACACTATTAGAATTATGTTCAATATTTCCCAAAATGGCTTATAGTATTTAACTTCTACACATCGATAATCCAAAATATATATATATATATATATATATATATATATATATATATTATATTTACACCATGAGATTACCTAACATGTAACTACAGTTTACACGTAATCATTCATAAAAAGTGAGATCAGCAACCCCGGTTAAAATACACTAACAATGTAAGTTTTTTTACCCTGTCAGTGTATTTAGGATATTTTAATCACAAATATCTCCACCTCTATAAAAACAGACTCTTGGAGAATTTTGCTTGCGGAGGACGGCTTCGTAATTTCAGCTGTGGCAAACAAAAAACATATAAATTTTATAAACTTTTGCGGCTAATGGATATAAATATATAATTTCGATCGTGGACTAAAAGTAGTCTTTGCCCAATTCTTTTTGAGACGTTCCTGTCCGAATTAAAACTAGCCATTCTTTTCGTGAAATATAAAAAAAAAAAATTCTTCAAATCAATGGTTGAAATATAATGTTGGGTTCTCCATTAATGTTTGTTGCTAATGATTAATTTAAAAACAAAGATTAACACATCATAGAGCATTAGTTTGTCTGCGCTTAGTCAATAAAAGACAGCAATTAGTGGAGGACAAAAGTAAATAAAAAAGTTATTCCTTTGGCAACCACAGTAGGATTTTAATTTGTCCATCCAAACAAACGTTTATATAATTTTCGAAAGAACCCAAGTGCGGAAAATGGTATTGATTCCTAGATTCTGGATTCTGATTCGAAGGACGACAATCATACACCAGTATATTCCAAGTGTTTAACCCCTGGGCCATGGTTTAAGCCAGTGTGGATCGGTTGGTATCGGATTTATCTGAATCAATATTTTTGACGAAAAATATAATTTTTTTGGTAATTAACATGAAATATAAATTTTTATGTGAAAACTTACAATAAATATTAAATATGAATCATAATCTTAAAAGTATCATACGTTCAACAGTAAAAAAAATCCCATTCATGATCCAGTTACGTTCATTAACAATTTTTTGCCATCAACTTCCATTATTTATACCTACTTGCCCTGCGCTCTTCTAAAATTCCACAAGAATAACAGTCGCAATCTGTTAAATACCGCAGTTATATTCGGCCTCGTCCAATGTGTAAATTATACTCGTTTAAATATATTAAGTACGTGAAATGTTGGAAAAGGAACCTATGCTTAAAATGCATATATCATTTTGGTAGGGGCAAATATTCTACTTCCTATATAAGACTAGTGGGAATGGCCCGTGCTTAGCCCGGGCCCAAACTTGATTAAAGTAGCAGCTTATATTAATTTATAAAGAAAATAAATTACTTTCTACTGAGAACAACTTGCATTCTGATCAATTATGTATTGAGATATGTGAGTTGATTTGTTAAACATTATGGTCTCTGGGACGAAGTGCGTCGTAATCCTTTTGAATTATCCTTTGGATGGCAGTAATTTCTTTCGATTCAGTCTTAGAAAGTTGGATACGTAACAAAGTGAAGAAAACAAATTCAAGCTAAAAAAGGAGGTCATATTTACTGCCAGTCTTTCAACCCACTATTTACATTAGTTACAACACCAATATGTTTTACCGGCTAACAAAAATATAAATGTACATGCCAGTAAGTTACACAAAGTGAACTGTGTTGTCCATGTTTTCTGCAATATTGCAAACAAAACGACGTCAGCAACGGCAAGTGACAACATTTTCTGGTAGCTAATTTCTAAAGGACACAAAATAAAAGTGATAAAACAAAGGGGACAATTTCCTAGTAATTGTTAGGTTGTCGCACCAAATCTAGTTATCTTTTTACTTGAAATATGCATTTCTTTTGGAACAATTATATATATTTTTTGGATTATTATATGAAAAATAAAGTTTGTTATGATGTTAAAATTTATATCTTCAGAATGTATAAGTTTCACAGAAATTAGTCATGCGATCTAGCGCAATCTGATCATAAAATAAGTTCTGTTCAGAATTTATTTTTTAGATAAAAATTTGGGACCAACAATAATATGATATATGTACACTACTGTTTAGCGATGTTATTATATCCTTACTAGTATAATCTATAATAAGTGAGAGTAAGCAAGCACCTCCCCGTCAACATGCTTGCTTACATAGGAGCATTTTCAAAATTTCACATTTTATTCAGCTTTACATGTATTGTACGTGCTAGGTTTATTGTTCGTACACGCTAGATATTTGGTGAAACTATAGGGCCCGCCTAAATTTCCCATTCACACCTAATTAACATTTATTTTTACTTTCTTCTGTAAATTTACCTTCTTTTGTAAATTTAGTAAAATTGAGATCCGTTCCTTTTAAATGTTCACAGGATTAATCAAATTTCAGTCCCACAGGCCCCACGTCCCCCACCCCCTCCTTTTCCTCTCTGGCCCTGTCCTTGTACTCTCCAGCAAATCATAAATAATTTTAAGTCTATTTAGCTTAGCCCACTTCAATTTCGATGTATTTTCTTTTCAAATAATTTCATTATCATTCCGTGGTGCAAATTCTTATATTACTTGCAGTTATTTTGCATGAATTTTCGGACGAAAACTCACTATCACTTCAATAATTTTTAAACTGCCAAGAATTTATTATCAATTCCAGTATAGTGTCAATTTTAATTGGAGTAAAGAAATTATTTTTCATAATAATAAATTTTAAAAATTTATCAAAAATAAAACAACATACAACCCTAATACAATAGAAGTAATACAAGAT